GGCGCGCCGGTCTACATGGCGGCGGTGCTCGAGTACCTGACGGCGGAAATCCTGGAGCTGGCGGGCAACGCGGCCCGCGACAACAAGAAGACGCGCATCATCCCCCGTCATCTCCAACTGGCCATCCGCAACGACGAGGAGCTGAACAAGCTGCTGGGCAAAGTCACCATCGCCCAGGGCGGCGTCTTGCCCAACATCCAGGCCGTGTTGCTCCCGAAGAAGACGGAGAGCCACCACAAGGCAAAGGGCAAGTGAGGCCGATGGCAGGCAGCCCGCCCGCCCAGCCCGTGTCTGCAAAGGTCACTTGTGAAATCCAAGGCTCTTTTCAGAGCCACCCATTCTATCACATTAAAGAGTTGTTACAGTAGCCAGTCCGATTTCCACTGTCATTTCCGAGCCCTCTTGAGTCCTGGGATAAGGAGATGAGCGGCGATTACCATCTGCTTTCGTTACTGCTGATGGCTGTCAACTTCCGAGCGTTTTAGATTTCCTTCATGGCCTGAGTTGCATATCCCAGAACTAAAGCCAAGGGGAGACAGCAAACATCGTGGGCGCCACCCACGGTCTTTTCACCCACCACTAACTCTCCTGGGCAGCAGCCCGTTAGCTCTCGGTGCCGAGTGCGCGCCTTTTCAGTTCCCGAAGTCTTTGCCCACCACCTAACACGACCCTGGGTTGAGGGGTGCGTCGTCGCCCTCTTCTGGAGGGGGGCACGGTTTCTGGGAGCGTGGCGGGCCTGAGTCTCGGCTCAGCCGAGCCCAGCGTCTTGGGGAGTGAGAAAACCACGCCTGTGCGGGGAGACAGGGCTGCACGCTGGGCTTTCGGAGGCGGGGGCTTGCGCCTTGGGGGCTGACAACCTTCCGAGCGGGAAAGCGCCGACCAGGAGGAGACGCTCAGCCAGAGCAAATGGGGCCGGGGGACTGCGACAAGGTAACCAGGCGTTTTGGGGGGAAAGGGCTACACACACAGCGCGGGAAGGTGGGGCACGGGTAGTGCGTCCTAAAGGAGGGGAAGGCTGAGGAACGGTCTTACGCGGTTGCAATCAAAACCGCCTCTCTGAGCGAGGAAAGAACGAGAGGAAAACTAAGGAAAAAAACTGTTGGCGAACTGGAAAGCAGAAAGGGGGGGCAGGGGGAGGGAGGGGGCACAGGAGAGGGAGGGAGGCGGGCGGGGCGGGGAGGAGGAGTCCGCCCGAGCCCGTCGGTGACGCCAGGGCGGGTGACGTCACAGCCAATGGGCAGTCAGCGCGGGACTTTCAATTCTCGTTCCGCCCAATCGGGGAGAGAGTGCGCCTATAAAGAGCGCTGGCGCGGCCGGGCCCGCGTTACTGTCTCTGTCGCCGCGCCGGTCGGTTGGTTCCCTTGTTCGCTATGGCCCGTACGAAGCAGACTGCCCGCAAGTCGACCGGGGGCAAGGCCCCGCGGAAGCAGCTGGCCACCAAGGCGGCCCGCAAGAGTGCGCCGGCCACGGGCGGCGTGAAGAAGCCGCACCGCTACCGGCCGGGCACTGTGGCCCTGCGGGAGATCCGGCGCTACCAGAAGTCCACCGAGCTGCTGATCCGCAAGCTGCCGTTCCAGCGGCTGGTGCGCGAGATCGCGCAGGACTTCAAGACGGACCTGCGCTTCCAGAGCTCGGCCGTGATGGCGCTGCAGGAGGCGAGCGAGGCCTACCTGGTGGGGCTGTTCGAGGACACGAACCTGTGCGCTATCCACGCCAAGCGCGTCACCATCATGCCCAAGGACATCCAGCTGGCCCGCCGCATCCGCGGGGAGCGGGCCTAAGTTAGAGTGCACTCGGCTCGAGTTTCCATCTCCTCCAAAGGCTCTTTTCAGAGCCACCCACGACAGCGCTAAAGAGAGGCTGTGTCACTTATCCTGCTTTCTCATCTTTTAGACTCTTAGGTGGTCAGGGAGAGGGTTGGGGAGGGTGAAGCGCTAGGCTCCCGGCGGTGGGTTGCGTGAGACGTACACCGCCAGTTGCCAGGTTTACCTCCCGGTTTTTAAACCGCTCTCGGAGCTGGGACTAGGGGCTTTATGTGCCTGTCTGGGTTCGCCGGCGCCTGCTTGAGGGCGGCCAGGGACCTTCCTGCACCCAAGTCCTCTGCCATTTTTTGTGCCTGAGCTCTTCCGCGCCCTTTTTCACACGACGGCGGCCCAGAGCGCGAAGTGTCGCGGGAGACCGGGGCGTGGAGAACAAACTGACACCGGAAGGAGTCACTGCGGTCGGGAGCGCGCCTGGGCCGCCCTTTTCGGGAGCAGAGAGCTGCGCGCTGCCGGGTGCGCGCCCAACGGCCTCTTTCCCTCCCGGACGAAAACGGCCTCACCCGGCGCGGCCTCGCGCTGGAGAGGGAAACCGCCACCTCTGTCGAGCGCAGATCCTTTGGTTCCTGCGCTTCGGTTGCCCTTTGGGTATTGGCGAGGCCCGGGCTGCCCTCAGCAGGAGGACGTTATCAGTTGGTGCCACTGCCCTCACCTCCCCTTCACCGCCTCGTTGGCAAAGCTCCCTTAGCTAATTGTTTTTGTAGGTGCGGTAAAGTTGGTCTTGACTTACAGCGACCCTATAAACAACAGAACGAAACACTGCCTAGTCCTGTGCCATCCTCGCATTCTTTGCTATGTTTGAGCGCATTGTTGGAGCCACTGTGTCCACCTCCTTGAGTGTCATCCTCTTTCACTCATCCTCTACGTTACCAAGCATGGTATCCTTCAGGTACTGGTCCCTCCTGACAACATGTCCAAAGTATGTGAGACAACGTCTCGCCAGCCTCGCTTCTAAGGAGCTTTCTGGCTGGACTTCCAAGACATTTGTTCGTTCTTCTGGCAGTCCATGGTATGTTCCATATCCTTCGCCAACGCCGTGATTCGAAGGCATCGATTCTTCTTCGGTCTTCCTTATTCATTTCCAGCTTTCGCATGCATATGAGGGCATTGAAAATATGGCGTGCGTCAGGCACGCCTTAGTCCTCCAAGTGACATCTTTGCTTTTTAATACTTTAAAAGAGGTCTTTTGCAACAGATTTGTCCAATGCAATATGCTATATGATTTCTTGACTGCTGCTTCCATGGTCATTGTGGATCCAAGAAAAATGAAATTTTTGACAACTTCAGTCTTTTCTGCCTTTATCATGTTGCCTGTTGGCCCAGGTGTGAGGATTTTTGTTTTCTTTATGTTGAGGTGTAATCCATACTGAAGGCTGTAGTCTGATCGTCATCAGTCCTCTTTGCTTTCAGTAAGCAAGGTTGTGTCATCTGCAAAGCGCAGGTTGTTAATGAGTCTTCCTCCAATCCTGAGGCCACATTCTTCTTCATATAGTCCAGCTTCTCCAATTATTTGCTCAGCATACAGATTGAATAAGTATGGTGAAAGGACACAACCCTGACGCACGCGTTTCCTGATTTTAAACCACGCAGTATTCTCTTGTTCTGTTCAAACGACTGCCTCTTGGTCTATGTACAGGTTCCTCATGGGCACAATTAAGTGTTCTGAAATTCCATTCTTCACAATGTTCTCCATAATTTATTATGATCCACACAGTTGAATGCCTTTGCGTATTCAATAAAACACAGGTAAACATCTTTCTGTTGTTCTCTGCTTTCAGCCAGGATCCATCTGACACTAGCAATGATATCCTGGTTCCACATCCTCTTCTGAATCCGGCTTGAATTTCTGGCAGCTCCCTGTCAATGTACTGCTGCAACCATTTTTTAATGATCTCCAGCAAAATTTTACTTGTGTGTGATATTAATGATATTGTTCAATAATTTCCACATTCTGTTATATCACCTGTCTTTGGGATGGGCATTAATATGGATCTCTTCCAGTCCGTTGGCCTGGTAGCTGTCTTCCACATTTCTTGGTATAGACAAGTGAGAACTTCGAGCATTGCCTCCATTTGTTGAAACAGCTCAGTTGATAGTCCATCAATTCCTGGAGCCTTGTTTTTCATCAATGCCTTCAGTGCAGCTTGGACTTCTTCCTTCAGTACCATCAGTTCTTGATCGTATGCTACCTCCTGAAATGGTTGAACTGATTGGTCTTGGCTTTTAACACCTTAACATTCTCGGCCTCTGTTTCTAGAAACTCTTCATCCCATTTTGTGTTCTCACAGCCACTGGAATCCGTATCCATTCCCCCCACCCCTTTATTTTCTTTAAAATGCCAACAAAACTTGGCCGTGTGGCATAGGCAGCTTTGGGCAGGATGGGACGCAGGACCGGTGAGATCTGGTGTATCTGGCCCAGCATTCCACAAGTTCATACAGTCCTCTGACTTTTGCCAGCCTGAGCCCAATGGGACAACCTCAGGGAGGGGGGTTCAATGGCCAACATACTGAGTCCACTCCCTGGGAGCTCAGTTATTGCTATGGATCGTTCCTTGCTGAAGTCCACAGCACAAGACTCATGATTCCCCCTGGAAGAAGCAGAGACTGTGAACTCTGTCTAAAGATATTGGGGTTATCCAGCACAAGGAGCTCGGAGTTCAAGTTTCTTTTCGGGTTTGAACCAATGGAAGGCGGCACATGCCCTGCTCCACTCCCCTACCTGCATCTGTTTGCCCAGGGGAAGTGAGGACAGAGGTTGTCTCAGAAGGGCGATTCCTGCACCAGCCAGGTGAGAGTGGAATTCTAAGGCCTCTCAGTGTCTTTCAGGAATGAATGAGCCTATTGAACTGGGGGAGTAGGACACTCTGGTAGAGCCCACAGTGCAGAAGGCTCAAACACAAGTGAGGCTGTGAGTCCTAGATGATGCCTCTTCCTAACCTACTTGGTCATAGTTTATTGGCACCTGCAAGTGGCCAGGGTTTGTGTTTTTCTGTTCATCTCAGCACAGCTGACAGGTAAAAAGCATTACAGAGTTCATGAGAATGTACAGGGGAGAAGAAACTGAAACAGGTCTACTTTTGAAGACTTCCGCCCTTTGCAAAGAGTGTGAAAAAGAGGGAGAGAGCAGTGCTGGACTGTGTGACCTCTCCTGACGGGTGCTCCCCCAGTTCTCAGCCCCAGGCTCATGGTCTCTGCCAGGGCCTCATTCCCTGCTCACACCCACAATGCTCAATGAGATCCTTGGGATCTGCACTCTGAGTTCTTAGCAGAAGCAGCTGTGCAACTTACAGCTGTGTGGGGATAGCACCTTTGCACCCAGCATCTCACCCACTGAAGTTTGCTTTCAAAGGTACGGCTTCAGGTTCTCAGAGAATGAGTG